AAGTCCTCCACTCTTGCCTGCGCGCCGAAAAACGCACCGCGCCGATTCCCGGGCGCCTCGCGCGCGCGCCGCGCGCGTACCGTTAACGAGAATGGCAGCCCCTTTACCTTGGATTCCTTGCCCAGCGCCGCCATTTGGGACTGGACATATTCCTTCACGGCCTCCGCGAGCCTGGGGCCCCCGCCCGGCAGCGCGCGGCCACTCGCGGGCCCGCGGCCCTCGGCTTCTTCAGCCGCTGCAGCCGCCTTCTTCAGCACCCGCAGAGCTAGCATGCACTGCGCAGGCGACAGCTGTGCTGCGCGCAACTCCGCCGCTTCGCCGCCCGCGTCCCACGGGGCCGCTTTCGGCGTCGCTGCCGGCGCCGCGCTCGCTTTCACTTCGGGCACCGAGGAATCCACCGCGTGCGCAGAGCCCACGGTCTCGTCGTGCAGCCGGGCCACCGACGCATAATGCATGACCGGGTGCGAACTCCGCGGGCCCGCGTCGGTCGTTGCCACGACATTGACCCATTTCGTTGCCAGACGGCGGCTGCCGCCCCCGAACGCCGACTCCGGGCATTTCTCCAGCGCGGCCAAGATCTCCTGGTCCGAGAAGGAACACATCGCAGAACGCAATTGAACCGTGCGGCGTCGCGAGAGCAGATCGCTGCGCGCTCAATGCTGGCTCCCGCGCGCGCGCGCGCCAAAGCTCCCCCTGGCCTCCTGGCCCACGGGTCGCCCCTTGGAGCCTCCTGGCCCCGCTCTGGCCTCCTGGCCGTGGCCCACGGGGCCCCCAGACCCCCGCCTGGACAAAACCCGAACCTCCAGGTCCGCGCAACGCATCGCTGGGGCCTCCTGGCCCCGACCCGGCCTCCTGGCCGCGGCGCATGGCGCCCCCAGACTCCCGCCTAGTAAACCCCTGGGCCCCCTGACCCGCGCGGCGCTACGTCGGGGCCTCCTGGCCCCGACCCGGCCTCCTGGCCGTAGCGTGGCTGCGCCCCAAGCGTGCCGCCAGGCCAGCTCGGGGGCCAACGGGCGCACGTAGCGTGTCGTCGGGGCCTCCTGGCCCCGACCCGGCCTCCTGGCCGCCGCCCACTACAGAAACACGAATGCACCGAGGGCCTCCTGGCCCGCGCGGCGCGTTGCAAGGGGGGCCTCCATGCTTGCCCAACACTGCGCCCGTGTCGCGCCGCGGTGGCGCCCAGGGCCCCCCAAGGCCACCTGGTGCCACGGTGCGGAACCAGCGCCAGGCCTCGGGGCCCGAGGGCGAACCCTGCGGGCAGCCCAGGACAAGGCGCAGCCCCCTGGCGAACGCGACGGGTGCGCCGCTGGCTGCTCGGTAGGAGGTCCGCGACCCTGCGGGGCCGACGGCGCGCGGGGGGAGGGCGGCATCGGGCGCCGACGCCCTGCCGCACCCCGCCGCACGACCGAGCGCGACCAGCGGTCGCGCCGCCACCACCACGCGCTTCCCAAAAGCGCGCGACCAGACCGGCGCGCGCCAATTTCCGCGCGCCTTGCGGGTTGACGCAATTATATTCCAACACCTGCGAGAACGCCGCGCGCGGGGGAGCGCTCGCGCGCCCCCCCCCCGCGACCCCGATGCGGCGCAACCCCTCGCGCACGCAGGAAGGGGGGGGGAGACGTTCTCGCGCGCCCCCCCCCCGCCCCTCCGCGGGCGGACGCGCGCCGCCCCTGCCGATCGCCCCCGCGCGGCGCGGGCGCTCTCGCGCGCCGCGGCGCCGCGCCTCGCGCGACCCCGCGCCGCGCCGTGCCATTTCCATGGCCGTGAACAATGAAACTGCACAACCGCGCAAACCGCTCGCACTGCGAACCGCGCGCCGCCGCCTCTGCATTTATCGGCCTGAAAAGCGCGCTTTATGGGCGATGAAAATGTATGTGTGCATAGTTGTTTCCCTAACCTCCTGTGTTGTTAGGTCCTCGGTTTCCCTCTGTACCACCGCGCGCTCCACCTCGCGTCGCCTCCTCCCCCAGCTCCTCCTGTTGCTGATGTTGCGCTGCGTTCTGTATGCAGCGCCTCTGCCAGTGCTGCTGCTGTCGCTGCATCTGCAATTCCGGCGCCCCTCACGCGGATCGTGCTCCCTTTGAAAGCGCTCCAGATGCCTCGCGCAGTCATGCCTCTGATGCAAATTGTAACGCTTGACCTGAAGCAGCGACCGAACACCGCGCATCACTGTCTCTGAACCTTGCTGGCTCTCGCGCTCGATCTCCTCGCCCAGCTCCAGACTGGGTGCCGAGTTCTCGGGCGGCGGCGCTACTCTCGTGCGCCAAGGCCCACGCTTCCACGCGCTTGGCACCCATCGCCAGCGAGAGCTTCCCTGTCTCTGTGTCTGCTTCCCCTCCCCATCGCGACTCAACGGGCAGAGCCCCGCGTCGGTGTTCGAGGCCGGTGCCCGGCCAGCCCCACAGAGACACCAGCGACAGACGGGACATCAACGCGACAGCTCCAACGCCGAGCTGCGCCAGCCGCCCTCGCGAGAACAACAACGGCCTCGCACTACAACGGCCCTCGCGAGAACTGTTTTTTTCTCGCCCGCCCTCGCGAGAATTCGAGCGGCTTGCGCTCCTCGAGCTCGGCCCTGCGCAAGCCACCCATTGGCCTTTGGCCACCGACGCCGCCACGGCGCGGCCATGCCAGAGTCAGACGGCCCTCCGCGCACCATGACTAGGGGGAAAACAAACCGACCTCGCTTTTGACCACCCTCGCTTCCAAGAGATACCAAGCGATGCCAAATTGCAGCCTGTACTGGTCAGGCCGCTTGACGAGGAGGCGCGTGGTATGGCTTGGTTTTGCCTGGAAGCGAAAGCGGGGTAGGCAATTCACGCTCTGAATGACACAGGGCTCGACCTGACCAGTGCTTTCCGTGTTCGTTCTGTTCTCGACTTCTCTCTTTCGGTCCGTCTTCCTTCCGCCTCTGCTGCAAAACGAGATCGCAGCGAGCACGGTGCACGAAGTCGCCACACACACACACACCGTTCAGGTCGAGCCCTGCCGTGACAGTGCTCGATGCCTGCCTCGGGCGTCCGTGCCAGTTTCTGCAGCCCCTTCCCGCGGCGCGCCTGCTCCGAGCTTCTAGATGAGCGTCGGGGGGGGGCGCCATCCCCCGCCGACGCCCCCACTGCGACCCCCGTCGCGGGCAGCCACCGCGCGCCGCAGGCGCTCCGATCCCCGTCGCGGCACGACGACGAGGCGAGGTTGACCCCCGACGGGGAGGACCCCCCCCCCCACGTCTATTAAGAAACCCAGAGTGGGGGGAAGACAGATGTCGGGGGCGCGCAAACATGGATTAGCGATCCATGGATTCGACGCGCGGTCGCCAAATCCATGGATCAAGGGAGGTGCCCTCCCCACAATGCGGCCGGTGCAGCCTCGCTCGGCGGCGGAAAGCCGCGACTTCCCACGGAAACGGGACCCGTCGCTAATCCACGCCCCCCTGATTCGGCCCGTGGACAGACCTCCCTGTAGCGAACCTCCCTTCAGTGAAAACGGCCCAGGACCGAAACCGACGGACCTGGACCCGCAAAAACGACGGCCGCGACGCCCTCTCGCGAACCGCACCCGGCCAATTCGCTAATCGACGTGTCAGGGTAGGAGGTCTGTCCACCACGCCGCACGGGTGTTTCTGGCAGGCGACCCCGAGCCGCACGGACACCAGGTCGCAGGTCCGTCGGAGTCTGTCGCACAATCTCCGCCTGATATTTCCAATACTGATCACAGGAACAATGACTTTGTTTCCCTGAAGGCAGCGGCGACCAAAGGCAAAATCACGGAGCTCCACTCCTGGCTCAAAAGTGCCACTCGTCGCGCGAAGCGCACCCTTAGTAAAAAAACCTGTTCGCCTTCCGACGAGCTGGACGGGACGGCACCGCCCGGCCGGGCCTCGGCCTGCACGGCTCGACGTGTGCCACCCACACACAGAAAAAGTCGCGGGGCCGGCCGCTGCTGCCGCACGCCTGGGCGCGCCCGCGCGACCCGCAGCCTGCCAGTGCTGGAGCTCGGGGGCGCGCAGGCACGGACTTCGCGCTCCATGGAATTGGCGCGCGGTCGCCAAGTCCATGGACCGGGGGAGGTGCCCTCCTCAGAATGCGGCCGGTGCCGCCTCGCTCGGCGGCGGAAAGCCGCGATGTCCCATTGAAGCGGGGCCCGTCGCTGATCCACGCCCCCACTGTCGGGCCAGGCGAAAGGGGGGGATAGCCAAGGGGGGGGTTGAGAATCAGCTCGCGTCGCTGATGTTCCTGGCGCCTCCCGGCGCCGGAGGCGGCCATGTATCGAGGAATGGGCCCGGCGGCGGGGCCGAAACCAGCTGCATGCAGCAGATTTCGTAACCCCCCCATTCCCTATCCCCCCCTTTCGTTCGGGCCGACACTGATCCAGGTTTGCGATCGCCTGAGGAGCGTGCGCCCAGTGCCGCAGCGTCCGTTTCCTCGAAGCTCCGACGGCTCGCCCTGCCGCGGAGCCCGCGCCCTGGCGCAGGGGCGACGGGCCGCCCTCGCGAGCACCGCGGCGGCGGTTCACCGAGGAGTGTCCCGACGGCCCCGCCAGGAGTGCTTGACCTCCACCGGGGCCCGAGAGAGCGTGGGCGCCGACTGGAGAGCGTCCGCAGGGAAACGAGCGCCATCAGGCCAGAAGAGAGAAGGAACTGATGGTACTTCACGCTGAGGAGCGGCCGCAAGCAGCGGCCGCGCGGCAACGAGCGGCGACGGACAGACGCGACGCCGAGCCGGCCAAAAGCACAGAAGGCGACGGGGCCCGAGGGAGCACGGGGGAGGAGGCGGGGACGGATGGGTGGTGAGAAGGAGGAGGAGGAGGAGGAGGAGGAGGAGGAGGAGGAGGAGGAGGAGGAGGAGGAGGGGGTGGAAGGCAAGAGCGAGGAGGCACGGGCGGGCGCGTGGAGGAGGGCGGGCGACGGCGAAGCAGCAGCCGCAGGTCGCAGCCGCGCGGCGGCGCAGGCGGCGGCCGCGGCGGCGGCGGCGGCCGGAGGCGAAAAGCGCGGGGCACGCCACCGGCAGGGCGGCGGCGACCAGCGGTGCGCAGCGAGCGCCCAGGCCCAGGGCTCGAGCCTCGCCCGCCTGGCAGTGTTGGGGGGGGGCCCGGGGCACTGGGGGGAGGGGGGAGCAGGGGAGCAGGAGGGGAGGATGCGACTTGGTGGCCTCCGAACCAGGTGGTGAGACACCCGGTGGTGACCCCGACGCCCCCCAAAAAATACTTCTGGGTCACCACCGGGTTTGGGAACAGCCGATCGCCACGAGGTTTTGCGTTTCCTGGGCCACCCAGCGCTCGAAAACCATTGCCCAAATCGCCCAAAACTCACCACCGGGTATTCTCACCACCACGTTTGGGGACCACCAAGCGACGGGAGGCACGATCAAGGGGTCGCACGGTGCCCGGGAGTAACAGAGAGCGCCGACGGACACACATATGCTTGGGTCTGCAGCGCTGGCGGTCGCAGACGCGTCTGGAGCCGGCGGGACGCGCCAGACACCGACGGACACGCGCCGGTCTCAGCAAACCCCGACACGGGGCGAAACGACTATTCAAAATGACGTCAGGTTCAGCATCGTGCACAGAGTGTGCGGATGCTCGGAAGGTCTCGAGCGGCCTCGTGAAGGTGATGCGGAGGCAATTGGAACATGACAAGCCGTTGGAAATATCATGGTGCGCTCTACGCCAGGGCCATGGCATATGTTCTGTTTACCCTGGTTCTCTCCTTCATCTGCCCTGGCTTCCCCTTTTCGTCGCCATCGTCCCACATTGTGCGTTTTCAGGAAGCGCGCATGTCAGCTGTGGAACCTTTGCGATGACAACGTGTGCGCTGCCTAAAGACATCTCCGTAAACGTATTGCCTTGCTGACTCACCTATCGCATGCGCGCCTCAACTCAAGCCTTTTCCACTCCATCCACCCGTCTCCTTTGAACCGTCTCTGACCTTCTTCTTCAAGCCTCCCGTCAACTCATTCTCTACCAAGATCCGTGTCAATCTCATTCTCTACCCCCTCACCCCCCAATTCCTCCTTCACGTTCACGGCTGCTTGCTTCGTGCACTCCAGGCCTTGTTCAAACACGGGTTAAGGATTTTATTACTTGAACCCCTTCGAGTCGAAGACCACTCTTTGGATGTCTGGTCGTCGAAGGCTTCGACGGCCAAAAATCCGACGGGTGGTCCTTGACTGCCGTGGAAGTTACTCTGCTTGAGAAGTTGGCCCAGCCTGCTGCAGCCTAGTGGCAATCCCCTAGACGCTCTAAGGCCGAGCTCGCAAATCCGAAGTGCTAATGAAAGAGCGGGTGGTGCACCGCGTGTGTTCCACACCCGACGGAGTGTGTCGACACCCTGCACTGTGCGGACTTCGCTAAAATAACCCACGACCATGCTTGGCAGGACGGGCGAAAATGAATATGCCGGGCCCTTGCATTGCGTCCCCCGACTCCCGCAGGACGGGAGAAGCAGGAACAGGAGGAGGGGAGGAAGGATTCCAGGGTCTCAACGAAGGGTCCACTGCTTCTGAACGGAGCCCAAGCATCCGAATGGCGAAATTAGGGCTTCATCTGTCGGTGCTCGATGCGTCACTCCCAACCTCTGACTGTGGCAGGTTCTGCGAACCCGGCCTCCTCGGGGCGAACGCCGCCGGACCAACAATGGCAACGGCCCGCCCCTCTGAAGTTTTTCAGTGGAGGCAAGAGAGGCCGGTTAGAAGAGAAGACAAACGTGAGAAGAATGAAGGAGGGAGAGGAGGTTACGGTTACCGACTGCCTGAAGGACCTCCCAATGCCCGCATCACGATTACAATATCGAATTGGATCCTAAGCAGAGCTCTACCCCCGCCGTTCACCTCGCGGCAACGCAAGCTGCCCCTCCCCACCGAGTGAACGGGAGGGCCCCCGACGGCCCTCTCACAGGCGTCCTGCCTTGAAGAAGTAGGTATCGTAGAACTTGAAAGGCGGCACGGCGCACAAGGAGGGAGAGGAGGGAGAGGAGGAGGAGGAGCAGGAGACGAGCAAAGGAACAAGAGGAGGAGGAGGAGGAGGAGGAGGAGGAGGAGGAGGAGGAGAGGAACGGATCGCCAGCGCTCTGTTCCAGACGACGTCCCGACATATGAGGACCGGGGCTGGCCAGACACCGTGCCCTCCACCGTACCCAGCGACCGTCTTCCACTCCCCCCGCCCGCCCGCCCGCCCGCCCGCCCGCCCCCCCCCCGCGCGAGCTTCACGTGACAGGGCTGAACCTAAACGGTGTTTTTCGTTTTCGTTTTGTTTGCGGTCTCCCTCGTTTTGTCTTCCATCCGCCTTTACTGCAAAACGAAGTCGAAACGAAAACGGCCCACGAGATCTCCAACACGCCGTTTAGGTGCAGCCCTGTCACATGACAGCGGGGGAAAACTGAACCCAACCAGAACCCTCACATACGCTCAGGCGTACGGCGGACCCCCGTGAGACGGCTTCTCTGCCGACCCTCCAGACGAAGGTGAGACGCCCCGAAGGCGAGAGATCCTTCCTGGACCACGCCACACAATGCAACAACAATGGACACCCCAACAATCCTATCAGTTGTATCTAAAATGTCGGAACATGTTCTAGACAGGCTTTCAACACGTGCCTTCCATAATGTTCTAAAAGTGCTTTCCGCATGTGCTTTCTAGACACCTGGGAATTACGCATTTGGCAACACGCTTGCTCACCATTGGCCATCGTCCACAGCGCTTGCACAACGACTGCCTGCATCGCCGAACCGCCCTGGACGACGCCCGCTGCCAGCCGTGGCTCCCTGGCAGCACGCGGCGCGCCTCGTGGTCGCCGACCCTCGCCAGCGGCTCCCGCCCGGCACCGCCGCCGGCGCCGAGCAGCAGCTGGGGCAGCGACAGCCCCTTCGCGGCGTTCTGGGGGGATCGTGCCGCGTCATAGATTTGGAGGCCTGGACACTGGCACCAGCACCAGCACAGGGGGTCGCCTCCACGGGGGGGGGATGATCCTCGATTTCGGTGCTGGTGGCAATATTTCGGACACCTTGGAAGCCAGCATATTACCACCATCACCGAGATCGGGATCTTCTCCCTCGGTGGAGGCACACCGCCGAAATTGGTGTTGGTGTCAACCTCTAGGCCTGCGATCATAGACGGAAGAGCACGTGAAAGTACGTCGCGGGAGGCTCGTGTCAAGACGGAGCAGTGGATGTGGGCGTGCACTGAGCGTGTTCACCGCCAGCAGCAAGCAACACGGGGGCGCGCAACAAAAAACACATGTGTAACAGACGAGGACAAGCACGACCGACTCAGCTACGACAAGAAAACAACATGTACTCTCGGTGCCATGCCCCGCCGCATACACAAACCGCGATTCAGGAAACACGTTGTTGCAATGGCATGGACGTTTGCCACAAACACAAGACTAAACATTCGGACCCTAGCGCTCCACAACCGTCTTCGGTCACTCCCCCGCTATCGACTCCACGCGCGCCTGCTCTGCCCTGGGTAGCTCATGAGCCGCGCGAGCGCCAGCCGGAAAGCTGTGCATTGTGAGTCGTGTTCCGTATGGCCCCCACGCGCGCCCCAAGCAGCGGTTCGGTGCCTTCTATTCGGCGCAATCCACCTTCAAAACTTGAACGCTTCGACTCCACTGCTCGTGCAGGCATCCCACACCCCACCCGCAGCTGACATTGCGCAATCCATGCGGCCGCCACTGCGCTGGCTTCTTGGCGCTGGCTGCCGCATGTATGCCGCTGCGCTGGCGCGTTCGAACTAGAATGCGGAGCGGCAAGCTGTTTTTGACTACCTTCCAGACCACCCCAACCCAACCCGAAGACCGCAATTTCGGGTTGGGGGGGGTACGGGTTCCATATGTGTTTCTTCAACGTTCCCCGACCCCCCCCACTGGAAATGGAGGGCAAATTGAGGCCTTCGGGTTGGGTTGGGGTGATTTGGTAGGTGGTGAGTTTTGGCCCCACTGACGCGGTCGCGATGCCGCTTACCGGTGAGAACCCCCCAACACGTCTCAGAGGCCGCGCTGGCGCACGGGCACTCTCGTGCGGGCCGCTGACGCTGGCGCCCTCGGCATCATGATGACGTCGGCGACGGCGGCAACGATGACAATGACAACGATCGTCCTTGCACCGGCCCTGCAGACGTGCTGCAGCGGATTTGTGCGTAGATTTCTGTGCGGATTGCCCGAAGCGGCGAGCGAAAAACGAGGTGAATTTCGCGTGGGCTCTTTTTTGTCATCATTCCTGGCCAAAGCAAATCCGTACAAAATTCGCCTCAAAATCCGGAACGAAATCCTTCAGGACAATCCGGGCCCATCCCATCGTTTTCCGAACGAAATCCGCTCTGCGATGTTGGCGCCATGACGATTGTGGTGGCGACGATGACGATGACGACAGCAATGCCTATGTCGGCGCCGATGATGGAGACGACGATGACACAAATTCTGTCCGTGTGTCGGTGATGACGGTGATTGACTGGTGATGGCGGCAATGTCAGCGATTGACGATGACGGTAAATAATGGCGGTGATGCGGTGGCGCTGGTGATGGTGCTGGGGAGGAAGTGCGCGCGCGCGGAAACGAAAGACCCTTGGCAAACCCTGGGTCGAAAACGCACGCTTCAGGCGTTCCCGAGGAGCTCGATCTTGACATGCCTCGGGAACAAGTGGTGCTGGGAGCGCGTCGACACGCGGGCGTGGCGGCGCGCGCGTGGCCCGGCTGGTGTGCTTCGATGGGGACTCTTTTGCAATGGGCGCAGGCTGCATCAACGCGGATGCGCGGCCTGGCGGGATGGGGATGCAGGCTCTGGGCGAGATGGTGAAACTCATATTGCTGCCATGCCATTTCAGCGAACGCGCGCGTGCAGGAAGTCTGCAAGGATTCTCGTGCAAAAGCGTCAGGGCGCTTGACGATTGCATGTTGAGATGCTTGTGCAATTTCTGTGCTTCGTAGGACTCCGACATGCCCTCGCCCGTTGACTTTGTGCGATGTGTTGCACGGGACTGTTGATCCACATTTGTGCTGCTACAGGCGAGTGCGCGTGCATGGCATCATTTGGCAGGGATGAGGGGGGCGATACCCGATCGCCAAGGATGGTATGGACCTATGTGGAAAATGAGCGACCAGGCATAAGCACATGCGATTTGCATTGTCCAGGGGTGGAGGAAGAGAACCCCATGGGGGAAGGGGGAGGAGTCGATATGCCATTTGGAGAAAATACGAAGCGCGATCCATCGGATGATTATGTGTAGGACCCGGTCGTCTGGGACCCTATGTATCTACTGCGTGATCATGTACATGCGCCCAGGCAAACTTTTTCAACGCTGGCGTTGTTCGCAAGGGCGGTCGCCAACATCTGCACCTTCTCCCGAAACGACGACCGCGGCATTTCCAAACTGATCCAAACAGAAAGGACTCTTTTCCAAAGACCACATACAACTACATTTGCTTCACACCGTGCTTGCACTCAGGGGTCCGCATTCCTGGTCTCAGAAACCAAGCTGGTCTGTCGGTCTGGCGACTGTGATGTTGCCGTCGCCGCCCCGTTGCCGCCCGCCGTCTGGGCCTGTCTGTCGTTCTGGCAGCTACGTTATCGCCGACGCCGCCCCGTCGATGCCACGTCGCCGCCCGTCGTCTGGAACTGTCTGTCGGTCTGGCAGCTATGTTAGCTCCCGCTCCTGTTCCTCCTCTTTTTTGCGTTGGCCATGCGACGAGTCTCGCCGGCCGTTCCCAGCCCCCAGCGCGGGGTCGGAGCGGCAGAGAACAAGGGCAGGAGCGCGGCGGTGCCGCGGCACGGAATGGGAGGAAAAATAAGGTTGTGGGAGGGCGCGGCAAGCGACCCCACTCTCGACCCCCAAATGCGACAGACATGCTTCAGGGCGCACGCGCGTGCGCACAGCGAAGCGAGGAGGGGGAGGTGAGACTCTAACTTTGCTTCGCCTTTGTGAATCCGAGTTAGCTCCCACTCGTGTTCCTCCTCTTTTTTGCATTGACCATGCGACGACTCTCGCCGGCCGCTCCCAGCCCCAATGCCAATGTTGGAAAACGGGGAGGGGCCCAAAGACGAGGCACAGCGGTGCCCTAATTCTCAGGGCCGGAATCGTCGACGACGCCCTGCGCCAGCAGGCCGGCGGCGACCTCGTCGCCAGACACGTAGGGCCTGGCAGACGCTACCGAACGCCAGCCGCCTCGCGCCAGCATGGCCTCCACGCCCGACGCGGCAAAAACGTCGGCAGCGGCCCCTCGCCGGACATCGTGCCCAAACCATTCCTCGGGGCAAGCGACCCCTATAGCGCGCACGTGGCACCGAAACTCCGACGTCCAGGATGCCGGGGTGTACCCGCCGAGCGGGCGGCCCCCGCTGCGGAAAAGCTCGCCCCACACCGGCAACCACGTGCGCAGGCAGATACCCTCGTCTACTCGGCACGTGCAGAAGGAGAAAACCGCGCACAAATCAACCTTTTGCTTGCGACGGATTGGCCCATACACGAAACGACCGCCCTGTGGCTGCACGAAGGCGCGCTCGCACTGCGTAAACAGTTTTGACGGCATTCGAAAAAAAAAATTGCACGCTAAAGCCGCGATCGCACACCACCAAATGCGCTGTTGCGACATTGCGTGGCGGAGCAGACGCCGCAAGAGCCGCCGGTCAACCCTGTCACGGGGCAGCCGGGGCGTCCTGTACTTAGCAGTGCCCAAACGGATACCACGGATGATGATATCTTGACCCCCCTGCCACGGCACGCCGGCTACCTGGTGCGCCAGGGCCCAAGCGCCAAGCCAGCCGCGCTGCGTGGAGGCGCATGCGCACACGGCCGCAACCCGGCGAATGTGTTGCACGGCGCGCCCCAGCGGGGGGGGCCCAAAAAGCTCGCACGCCCACGCGACCATGCGCAAATGAGACGCGTACGTCCGGAGAGTGGACGGCACCGTTTTGCACAAGAAGCGATCAACTTGCACCACTGTGTCTGCAAGGCTCACGACATCGACCCCCGACGCGCGGGCCTCTCCTAGGGCCCTCAGGACCTGGCGGGGCGGGGCCCCGTCTGGATGCCGGGGGGCGCAGCCTCTGTCCCTGCTCAGGGCCGCCATCATGTCCCAGTTGTGCCTCTCAGATGCCCGCCCGAGCGCTTCTACAACGCGCCAGAAGACGCCCCATGCGGACGCTGGGCCGCCGGCCGCGGCGGCGGCATGGAGCGCCTGTACCCCGCGAGGTGGAGGCGAGGCGACGCGCGGGCAGTGCTGCGGACTGCCGTCGCCGCCGAGGCCAGCGGGGCCAGAAGGCCCCGCGGGGCAGACAGCGGCGCCGCCGAGGGCCCGGCGGGGCCAGGGGGCGACCGCAGTGGGCTCGGAAGCCTGCGCGGCGCTGCGGGCGCCAGCTGGGGCGGCGAGAACGCCCGCCTGGCGCTTCACGACCCGGGCCGTGGCCCGCGCCGCCTGGGCGGGGCGCCGCGGGGGAGAGTAGGTAGGCCCCACCCGGTGCAGCCTGGGTGCCATGCGGGGCGCGCCCCGGCCGTCGCAGGAGCCTTCGAGCCAGGCGTGGCTGCCGCTCGCGCGCGGCGGCGTCTCCTCTCGTCCTCCGCCATGCGCTCCTCGTCTGTGGTCCGCCCCGTCGTCTTCCTCCTCGTCGTCCTCCGTCCTCCCCTGCCTGCTCCATCCCCCACGCGCCGGCCGGCCGGCTCTGGGTCTGGGGGGGCAGACACTTTTGCCTCGGCAAACGAGGAGGGGGAGGGCGGACCAAAGGGGAGGGGGAGACGGCAAGGGGGGGAGGCGAAGGGGGAAGAAGGAGAGGGGGGGGAACGACGACGACGACGGCGACGACAGAAACGACGACGACGACAACGACGACGAAGCGACGACGCGGAGGCAGCAGCGCCCGCAGGCGACACCGACGACGCGAGGAGCCACTTTTCCAGCAGAGCCGACAATGTACAATGGCAACGGCTGAAGTCCACCGTAAGCGTGGGGGTGGTAGCGACCACCTCAGCCCCAAGCTCACGAAGGGCTGCTTCCCCGCCCTCGCGGGAGGCAGCGCCAAGGGGATTTGAAGCCGTGTGAACGTGCTCAAACCAGCACCTGATGTCGAAAGTACACATCAGGTCGTGTATTGCCCCAACCACGCAGGCGACGTGGGGGGAACGGGCGTGCCCTTTGATACACCCAGAGACTGCCGCTGCATTGTCCCCGAGGCAGAAAAAGAAACAACGACCGTACCTCTTCGCCCTGCACTTCTAGCGCCTTGGCAATCCACCATGCCTCGACGCCATTGACGGCGTGTTCAGCGCTCGGCCCGAGCGTCTCCAGCACAGCAGGCGGGGGGACGAGGCTGAAGCCTTCGTGAAAACCCCGCGCTGGGATGGCCAACGTAGCGGCGCCTCTGCTCGCGCTCATGGCGGCGTCGCCATACAGCACAGCGACTGGGGCTCCAGCGGGCGCCAGGGGCACTGCGCGTGGGGGCCCCCGCCTGAGCAGCTCCGCCCAGAGGTGTAGGGGAACTTGCACCTGAGGCGGCCAGGAGCCCGTCCTTTGGATGGCTTCGATTTTCCCTAAAGCCTCGAACAGTGGACGCCTGGCGCGCGCGCCGGCCTTGCCCTGAAGGCCCCGCGACGCAAAAACTAATTTCCCTATGCAAGTGGACGCTGGGCCCGCCTGCGGGCGGCTGCGCGCCAGGTCCTCACGCTCCAAAGCTAGCGGCCCCTGCCTGCAACTGGGGTTGCCGACGAGGGGGCCCTCTGCGCGAGAACTAAAAACCAGCCCCAACAAAGGGATCGTGAGGCCATGCGTGGCCTTAGCCTCGTTAGTGCCGTACTCGAGGACCTTAAGCACCTCTCTGGTGACAAACCGGGCAGACGCTGCGCAAAAGGGCGGCTCCCACGACCAGAAGTCGTCGAGGTAGTTATCGGCATTAATGTAAAACCGCCGGTTAAACATATCCCGGAGACTCCGAAAAACAACGTTTGAGTTGGTTACTGCACCACCTGTGCCGAAGTCCTGGGACAGCAGCTCCCGGCCGACCACGCATTTGTCGCGAGGGTGCCAGAAAAGTTGCGCCACCCTGACCGGGTCGCGGCGGCGCCCGACCTGGTGGTAAGCTTCGCGTAAAAAATCATCTTTGCACCCCACTGGGGGCACGCCGAAAGCTCTCTGCGAGGCGACCATCCGTGCAAGAATCACCTCGCTGTCTGAACACACTATGCGCTCGGCCGCCGCCCAAATTAAATTAAAGCAGCAACCGCCTGGCGAGTCGGATGCGTCGGCGCACGCCCTGATTTCCGTGGAACAGGACGCCTGGCCGGACTCGTCCTCCGACCACCGTTTTTGGCAGACGGCGAACTTGCCGCAGAAAGCGACATCCGCCCCGCCGCCAGCGCCGCTCTGGAACTGCTCAACAGGCCAGGCGGGCCCCAGCGAGCCAGTGGCCTCCGCCTGGGCGCCCTGCTCCCAGACCTCGGCCGCGCGCGGGTGGCTCCTGCGCACGCGATCCACCAGCTCTGCGTTGCGCCCTGCAGAGTGCGCCAGCAGCTGCTCGACCGACCACTCCGGCGCCGCTGCCGAGAGCGGAGGAAAAAATGCCAGAAGCGGCCGGCGCCCCCGTGTCGGGCAGGCCCCGGTGCATGTTCTCTAAAAACTGCACCGCCGGGGACCCGATGAGGCGCAGGAGGCGGAGGAAGAGAAGGGTGGGCTTGCTAGCGAGCCCCCGGAGGGCAGGGTCCACCGAGGCGGCCAGGCTTTGCTGGCTGACCTCAAGTTCCCGCTTCCACACTTTTAACAAGGCCAACCGTTTCAGGCGCACCTCGTCGATGCCTGCGCCGAAACGAAATTGCGCTGACAGCGCGCACGCCGTGCTCTCTGCTATCACCGGGAGCTGATTAAGCGGGTGGTTTCCTGCGGCGGCCAACTGCAGGGCCACCCGCAGGTGCTGCGCGGGCGGCAGTCCCCGCGAAGGCACCGTGGTGACGGCGCCCCGCGGGTGAACGGCCACTGTGGAGTCGGCGACCCAACCGCGGGCAACGGTGAAGGCTTCGCCCTCGCCTGGAAGAGCAGCTCCAGGAGCGGAAAGGACAAGCAGGGGAGCAGCAGCGTGCGAGACTCCACTCGCTCTCAGCCCCGCAGGCGCCAGCGGGCGACCCTGCAGGGCATCGCTTTCGAGCGGCGCCAAGCTTGCCGCGGCGGGCGACGGCGCGCCGCCCCGGCTGTCCTCCGGACGCGCCCCTCATCGCATGGCCGTCGCGGCCGCGCGCCGGCGGCGTCCGGCTGCGGCCCCTCGGCCAGTCCTTGGGTCCGCCCTTGCCGCCGCTGCCGCCCCTGCGCGAGAAGTCGTTCTGCTCGAGGTGGCCCGCTAGGCACTTGCGCGAGCCCGGGCCTGTGGCGCGGCAGAGAGGGCACCCGTGGCGAAACTGGCAGGCCTCCTGCTTGGGGCACTGCCCGAAGAGGAAGCGCCGGCACGGAAACGCCAGGCCGCCCTGGCAAGCGGCCGCGGACGCGGCGGGCGCGGCGGCGCCGGCCTGCTTGACCTCCGTCTGGCAGCGGGCGAGGCGGCTCCAGTCGAGCTCGCCGAGGACGGAGCTGGCGTTGCCCCGGCCCTCCTCGTCGCCCTCCCTCCGTTTGCTGCTCGAGTAAGCCTCGAACAGCACCCGAGAAGAGTAGAAGGCGGCAGCCTGCTCGGCGACGTGCTGCGGCACGGCCTTGTCGTTGACGGCGGCGGCCACCTGTCCGACGTAATTGAGCACGTCCCCCCACGACACCCTGCTAGGGCGGCGGCCCAGAGGCGAGGGAGTTCGCGGCAGAACGTCTGCGCCACCGGACGCTGCAAACGGCAGGCGTCGTCGGCCTTGCTCTGGGTAAGCCAGGAAGCGCCCGGCCTTGCGGGCCGACGCGGCCGCGCGGAGGGCAGCCTCGTCCGGCTCCAGGGAGCGCAGCGGCTCTCCCTGCTTGGACTGCTTCACTAAGGTGCGGAGCTGGTCCGTCGGGTCCCAGTGGGAGGTGAGATTCTCGAGGGCCTTGGTGTCCTGCTGGGCCGCCGCGGCCACCACCTCGCCGAGGAACAAGTCGCCACTTGCGCTGGCGGCTGGCCCGGCCCCGCGCCACTCCGTTGGCGGCGCGTCGAAGGGGGACGGGGCGCCGCCCGGGGCCTCTCCCCAGAAGCCCGGCGGGCCCGCAAGGTTGCGGGGGCCGCGGCCGCTCTCGGACAACACAGCCACCATCTCCTGGAGGGCCGCCCGGCCGCGCGGGCCAAGGTCGGCAAGCGACCCCACTCTCGACCCCCAAATGCGACAGACATGCTGCAGGGCGCACGCGCGTGCGCACAGCGAAGCGAGGAGGGGGAGGTGAGAGTCTAACTTTGCTTCACCCTTGTGAATCCGAGTTTGCGCCGTCGCCGCCCAGTCGCCGCGTCGCCTCGTTGCCGTCTGTCGTCCGGGCCTGTCTGTCGTTCTGTCGGCTATGCTGGCGCCATCGCCGCCCCGTGGCCGCCTTATCGCGGCCCTAGGTCTTCTGGAAACGTAATAACTTCTACCTCCCACTGCTGGTCCTAACGGTACCCTTTCTGGTATTGCAATTTGCATGCGATGTTGCCCCATCTCCCATCCGAAATACGAACTCATACCATCCCAACGAAGCTGCTATCGCCCCCGCCCCCTCCCTCATCCTCTGGAAAAAAACTATGCGCGTGCACGCGTTTATCACACATCATGAGTTTTCAGGAATCCCCCCCGCAACAAAACAGGACGACATACCCACGCGCGCGTCGTCGCGCGCGCATGCCGACATCTCTACAAACAGTTCGGTGTCGCTACAGCTGCGATTTGTTGAGGAAAAAACATCGGTTGTCAGAACATTCATAGCTTGCTACCGGACGTGCCTCTCGCGCGCGCATGTCGAAAAAGGCTCGGACGCCCTTGCGCGCGTGCTGTCGCAAGAATCCTCCGCGAAATATAAAACGAAAAACACACACGCGCGTCATCGCGCGCGCATGCCGAAATCCTTCAAAAAACCAGATGGCCCGGTAAAGCTTAAACACCGAAAAACCGGAAACAAAATAAGCAAATGATTTCGCAACAGAAGTTTTATAAAACAAGCGCCGGCATTTGCGCTTTTGCAAATACTTGCGACAACCACATGTTCCAGCAACGTTTCCATGATATTCTGCCAAGCGGGCTCCTCACGGCGAACGTCGAAATCATTCGAACGCTCTTACGCGCGTGCTGGGGGGGGCGGCACGTTCTGTGCCAAGTAATACTACGCGGGCCAACGCGAGGACGCCGTCATCGTCGCCGGCGTGATCAGCATCGGCGCCGCCATTGGCCTTGCCATCGACGTTGTCCTCATCGTCACCAGCATCGCTACTACCATCATCGTGTCTACCGTTGTCGACGTTGCCATGATACCACGCCCGCCCATATCGCCGACTTGCAACGCTGTACCCGCGGTCAGCGCCACCGCGTCCGCGTCGGTCGCGCTGCGCGCGCGAGCATGAGCGGGCTAGCGCGGTCGCAAAGATGCACCAGCCAACTCCAAGCACTCATCGCAATCGCCGCTGCATAGGTTTTGCAAACCAAATTGTGGGCTGGTGGGTGGGATGACTGCGCGAGCAGTGGAGTGGACAACTCACTGCGAACAGACATATCCAGGCAGAACGTAGATAGCACCGCATGGGTTGCACTTCGGAGTTCCAGTGGCCAAAGAGAATGTTAAGATGTATCAGCCCCTGAACTGAACCGCACCATAGACCAATTTCAATATGAGTTCCTACCACCATCCCAGGCCAGCCGGTATCGTCCACCTTTTATCATCTGGATAGAATCCCGCGCGCACTCGTTCGTCGAAGGCCATCAGTTCTCAAGGACCCATTGCAAACATAGAGAGAGAGAGAAAACAAAAAGAGAGAGAGAGAGAGAGAGAGAACGAGAGCGATAGAGAGAGAGAGAGAGAGCGCGCCCGCATGGCCGGAGCAAAGGGGGAGGGCCCCTCCTTAGCTAACCCCCCTCCCTTGGACCTCCACTGCCCCCCCCCCCCCCTCCCAACCTTTTTGTCCGCCCCGCGGAAGCTGCCCCCTCCTCGACCCCTTTCCGCCTCCGGAACCTCTCCCCCCCCTCCGCCCCTTTTGCAAGGTGGGGGGACGCTAAGCCACCCCCCTCCTCCCTTCGTCTCCCCCTGCCGGCAGCCACCCCCCCTCCCCCCCTTCGAAGCTACCCCGCCTCCCCCCTGTCCTCCGGAAGCTAGCTCCCCTCCCCTGTGCGAAAAGGACCCTCCCCTGAACACGCCCTGCTGGGAGGCCCCCCCCCCCCCCTCCATCTCTTTTCGTCACCGCCCCGAAGCTACCATCCCCCTCCCCCGCATTCGGCCTCCAGAAACTACCCCCCCCTCCCCCCTTTCCGACAGAGGAAGGGGGCTTCGCTACTCCCCCCTCCCTTGGACCCCCCCTGCCGGGAGCCCCCCCCTCTCTCCCCTCCTTCTGTCCGGTCCGCGGGAGCGCCCCCCCATCCTCCAGAACCTCAACCGTCGCCCCTGGCTACTCACACTTAGACCCTAACGTTGGCACCACCAAACAACTGACACTACGACCCGCACCCACGCACCCCATCCCAGACACCTTACCATGTACGCCTCACCTCCAACCCTCCTAATTGTACCCCCGCCCGAACGCCCCCCCGACACCCCCCGCGAACGCCTGGAACCGAACTCCTTTGCCCCTAGAAAACAAAAACTGGGAAAACGAACCATGGTCTGAGAAAACGAATCCATGATCCAAGGGACCGAGAAAACGAAAAAACGAGACACCAAACTAGAGTCCGAGAAACAGAGACCACGACCCAGGATCCTAGAAAATGAAAAACCAAGAAAATCAAGCAAGGCCCGAGAAAACGAGACCACGACCCAGGTACCAAGAAAACGAAAAAACGAGAAAACGAACCAGGGTCCGAGTAAACGAAAACACGATCCAGGGACCAAGAACACCAGAAACCGAGACCACGACCCAGGGGAAGAGAAGCCGAGACAACAACCCATGGACCGAGAAAGCAAGAAAACGAGAAAACGAATCAAGGTCACAGAAAACGAGACCACGACCGACCCAGGGGCAGAGAACACGAGAAAACGAAAAAAAGAGCCAGAACCCGAGAATACGCGACCACGACCCAAGTGCAGAGAAAACGAAACAACGAGATAACGAACCAGGGCCCGAAAAGACGAGACCACGACCCAGGGGCCGAGAAAACGAGAAAATGATAAAAACGAAGCAGGGCCAAAGAGAAGGAGACCACGACCCAGGGGCCGAGAAAACAAGAGAAGGAGAGAACGAACCATAGCCAGAGAAAACGAAGCCACGCCCAGAGGCCAAATCAGGAAACGAGAAACGAACCAGGGCCCGAGAAACCGAGACCACGACCAAGAAGCCGAGAAAAGAAACAAGAAAACGAACCAGGGTCAGAGAAAACTGTACCACGACCCAGGGGCCGAGACAACGAGAAAACGAGCAAACGAACCAGGGTCAAAGGAGACCACGACCCAGGGGCCGAGAACACGAGACAACGAAACCACACACCAGGACCACGACACACGAACCGAACGAGACATCGAGAAAACCAACCAGGGTCTGAAACAACGAGATCATGACCCAGGGGCCGGCAAAACGAGAAAACGAGAAATCGAACAACGGTCCGAGAAAGCGAGACCAAGACCCAGGGGCCGAGAGAAAGAGAAAACGAGAAAACAAGCCAGAACCGAGAAACAGAGAACACATGAAAACAAACCAGGGCCAGAGAAAACAACACCACGACCCAGGGGATGAGAAAACAGGGAAACGAGAAAACCAACCAGGGCCTGAGAAACCGAGACCACGACCCGAGAGCCGAGAGAACGAGAACACGAACAAGCAAGGGCCCGAGAAACCGAGACCACGACCCAGGGGCCGAGGGAACCAGAAGACGAGAAAACGAACCAGGGCCCGAGAAACCGCGACCACGACCCAGGGGCCGAGAGAATGAGAAAACGAGACAACGAGAAAACGAACCAGGGCCCGAGAAACCGAAACCAAGACCCATGGGACGAGAAAACATAACAACGAGAAAACAAACCAGGGTCAGAGAAAACAAGACAACGACCCAAAGGCAGAGAAAACGCGACAACGAGAAAACGATCTTGAGCCCGAAAAATCGACCGTCACCACGACCCAGGGGCCGAGAAAACAGGAAGAAAACGAACCAGGGTCCGAGAAAACGAGACCACGATCCAGGGGCCGAGAAAAGTAGAACACGAGAAAACAAATCATGGTCTTAGAAAACAAGACCACGACACAGGGGCCGAGAAAGCGAGAAACCAACCAGGGTCCGAGTAAACGACACCACGACCCAGGGGCTGAGACAACGAGAAAACGAGGAAACGAACCAGGGCCAAAGAAAAGGAGACCACGACCCAGGGGTCGAGAAAGCGAGACACCAAGAAAACAAGCCAGGGCTTGAGAACACGAGATCACGACCCAGGGGCCGAGACAACGAGAAAACAAGACAACTACGCACAGTCCGAGAAAACGAGAAATCAAGACAATGGACCCGGGCCCGAGAAAACAGTACCACGACCCAGGGGCAGAGAAAACGAGAAAACGAACCAGGGTCCGAGAAACCGCGGCCACGACACAGGGGCCGAGAAAGCGAGAAACCAAGAGCACAAACCAGGGCTTGAAAAAAACGATGCCGCGACCCAGGGGACGAGACAACGAGAAAACGAGACAACGAACCAGAGTCCGAGAAAACCAGACCAGAACCCAGGGGCTGAAACAACGAGAAAACGAGAAAACTACACAGGGTCTGAGAAACCGACACCACGACCCAGGGGCCGAGACAACGACTAAACTAGGAAACGAACCACAATCCGAATCACGAGACCACGACCCAGGGGGCCGAGAACACGAGAAAACGAAAACACGAAACAGGAGCAGAGAAAACAGTTGCACGACCCAGGGACCGAGAACACCAGAAACCGAGACCACGACCAAGGGGCCGAGAAACCGAGACCACGACCCAGGGGCGGAACAAACAAGAAAACGAGAAAACAAACCAAGGCCACAGGGAACGAGATCCGACCCGGGAGCCGAGAAAACGAGAAAACTAGAAAATGAGCCAGAGTCCGAGAACACGAGACCACGACCCAAGTGCAGAGAAACTTAGAAAACAAAAAACAGGGTCCGAGAAAGCAAGGCCACGACTCAGGT